CTTCGAAAAGCTTGTTTTACGTGCGCTTATCCGGGGACCCTGTGGCATCTTCGTCTGGTCTTGCTGGCGTTGGTGTCGCACTAAGCGCTAGAGCTGAGGCAGCACTAGTCGATTGGATCCCCATTAACAGTCGGTTATGTGCTGTTAGATTAGAAAGTTCCATCAAAGTGAGAAGAAATCGGCGTGAGAAACGATGTCTTTTCGTCATCTCCGCCTATGCCCCGACAGATTGCAGCCCGGATGCAATCAAGGATGAGTTTTACCACCAGTTATCAGTTCTTCTCCAGAAAGTGCGTTCGACAGATATTGTAGTACTAGCCGGAGACTTGAATGCTCAGGTCGGGCGTCTAGGCACAGAAGAGAGTCGTTTAGGTGGCCGATGGGGACTCGTTGGTCGCAGGTCAGATAACGGGGACCGTCTACTGCAACTTTGCACAGACCACAACCTGTTTCTGGCTAGCACTAACTTTCGGCACAGTCATCGCCGATGTGCCACCTGGCGTCCTCCCTCTGCATCTCAAGCCTGGACTCAGATTGATCACATCGCGATCAGCTACCGCTGGCGTGGTTGTGTACAAGACTGCCGCTCCTTTTGGAGTACCTATCTGGACTCTGACCATGCCTTGGTCTGCGCCAATCTTGCCTTACTTTTCAGTGGACAACGAAGTGACGCCATCAACGGATTGATGTTAGCAAGCTGGTTGCAACTTCTGTTGCAAGTAAGTATCGAACCGAGCTAGCCTCTAGGCTAGCTACCACTCCACCGAAAAGTATAGATGAGCATTGGTTGCAATTGCATGACGCCATGAAAATGGCGGGAACAGTCAGTTGTGGGTTTGCGAAACGTCCCGCTTTTAAGCACTGGGTTTCTTCTGGTTCCTTACAACTCATTGAAGCCCGTCGGTCTACTCCGGGTGACCGTGAGTTTGACCATAAACGAAGGATGTTACGTAAGGAAATTGGGCAAAGCTTGCGTAAGGACCGAGAAGCCTGGTGGTCGATGCGTGCTAATGAGCTGGAAGCAGCAGCTGCATCTGGTAACTACCGGAAGCTCTTCCAGCTCATCCGAGCCACTGGCAGCAAGAAGTCTGGTGTGAGTGAAACAATCTGCGAGGATGATGGGATGCCAATCACTAACATCCATCGACGTCTTGGACGATGGGCAGAATTTTTCGAAGGGCAGTTCAACTGGCCTGCTGCTCCGGCAACATCGGTCAGACTGTCCTGCCCTCCATGGCCGGTGACGACTGATCCACCAAATGAGGAGGAAGTCCGCAAGGAACTCCAACTCTTGAAGCGTTACAAATCACCTGGCCCAGATGACTTACCTCCGGCTCTTTTTAAAGATGGTGGTGACTTTTTGACTAAGGAATTGACGACGTTGTTTACAAAGGTTTGGGAACTAGAGAGTGTACCAACGTCATGGAATGAGTCGATAGTTGTCCCTATCTTTAAAAAGGGTTCACGTCGTTCCTGTAACAACTATCGGGGGATAAGTTTACTTCCGATTGCGTCCAAGCTATTGGCTTCCGTCATTCTTCGTAGGTTGTTCAAAACCCGAGAAAGATTGACTCGCGAGGAGCAGGCTGGGTTTCGTTCTGGTCGAGGATGTATTGATCATATCTTCACCCTCCGCCAAATGTTAGAACACCGCCATACTTTCAAAGGCCAACAATCGTAGTGTTTCTTGACATCAGGGCTGCCTTCGATTCGTTGGACAGGACTGTTCTCTGGGATTGTCTATTGAAGAAGGGTGTGCCTGAGAAGTTTATTAACATCCTTAAAGCCCTGTATAAAAACACCTCAGGCAGAGTGAGGGCATACAACCACCTCTCTCCATTGTTCCATTCGAGCAGTGGGGTTAGGCAGGGTTGCCCAATCTCACCATTCCTCTTCAACTTTGCCATCGATGACATTCTGGAAACAGCTCTGATGAATGTAAGTAATGGTGGTGTGGATCTGTTGCCTGGAGAAAGACTTCTCGACCTTGAGTATGCGGACGATATTGTCTTACTGTGCGATAATGCCCAAGGCATGCAATCCGCACTTAATCAGTTGGCAATCAGTGTCCGTAGGTATGGTATGTGCTTTGCACCTTCGAAGTGCAAAGTACTTCTACAAGACTGGCAGGATTCTAATCCTGTACTCACCCTGGATGGTGAGCAGATAGACGTAGTCGAGAAGTTCGTGTATCTGGGTAGCTGCATAAGTGCTGGTGGGGGTGTGAGTGATGAGATCAATGCACGAATAGTGAAAGCCAGAGCGGCTTATGCCAATCTGGGCCACCTTTGGCGCCTTCGTGATGTTAGTCTGGCTGTAAAAGGTCGGATCTACAACGCGTCGGTGAGAGCAGTTTTGCTCTATGCTTGTGAAACCTGGCCTCTCCGAGTTGAGGACGTTAGACGACTCTCTGTGTTCGATCATCGCTGTCTCCGAAGGATTGCTGACATTCAGTGGCAACACCATGTCAGTAATGCAGAGGTTCGGCATCGTGTGTTCGGGCACAGAGATGATAATCAATTGGTGTCACCATCTTGAAACACCGACTTCGGTGGCTTGGACATGTTCTCCGAATGTCGTCCCAGAGAATTCCACGTCGTGCATTATTTGCCGACTCTGGGACTGGTTGGAAGAAGCGGAGAGGTGGTCAGTGCATGACATGGTGTCGTGGCATGAAAGAAAGCTGCAAAGGACTGGCTTGTGTTGGTCCTTCACGACTCCCTGGTTGGGGTCGGAGAGATGGTGCTACACAGTGGCTAGAGACGTTATCAGATATGGCTCAGAATAGAAGCCAGTGGCGATCCTGCTGTAACCTTCTTTTACTTTCTTCATAAAAAGTGGTTGTGTCTCCCTTACCTGAAAGATTTCTTCTGATTGTACCTTTCCGTTCCCTCATTACTACCACACTACCTTACACCAATCTCTCCGTTATTGTTCTCTTTTTTTGCGCTCCTTAGCTTTTTTTCTATTTTTCTTCGAATTCTCATTGTTTTGTGTGGCGCATATATATTGGCGCTCTCTTGTACCAATATTCATGTGTTCAAATAAATAATAGTTACGGGTTAATAACTTTAAGATGGATAACAGAGAGATTAAGGGCCTTCATGGACAGTGTTTGCGGCAAACTTGACATATTTATAAAAAAATAAATAGTACACGAATAGCTTAATGTAAATGTCAAAAAGAGAAATGGACCGATGACAATAATGATACTAACAAATGGTACAATTTATAACACAGAACAGACTTACCAAATCGTACCAGTATATCAATTGATTATGAAACATAGTTATTTATTATAATTATTATCGTTATGTCCAATAATGTTTGTGAGATAACGTACGTGTAATGAAAATGATATAAGAAATCCACAACTATAATTATAATCCAGATAATAATCCGAATCGAGACAAGGTGTGTCAAATTTTCGAAATCAGAATGTATCGTCGGAAATTGCATCGTGTTCGCATGTCGGGCCAACCGATTCTGTAGTAGATTAGCTTCGTTAATCGACCACCTTGACAACTGTTAGCACATAAATTCCCAACGGTATTTGAATTCAGAAGGTAATAAGAAGCGGCAACTACAGTTTACTAGCGGATAGTACTCATCACAAATTTATAAGTAAATCGAGCGGATTTGGAGCAAAGACGCTAAATATGTGAGCGAGCGAATACATAGGCAAATTTATAGTCAAATCGAATCAAAGCGCAGCTAGGCACGGCAAAGGCTTATCAAAACAAGGCAAAGGCCATTAATAAGAGTAGAACACATATATACGTGGAAAAGAGAATAATTCATCGAGCGATAATCAAGATATTAACATTTAAGCCCGAGAGATATGGGTGTAGGCTTTCAGATGTGATCAAACGTACACGTCTATACAAACACGATAGTGATCAAAATAAAACAAAGTAGTAGACGACTTGTTACTGTCCGAATAACATTGTCTGTTAAATAATTCAGTAAAGGGCTTGACAAAAGTCAACCCTAATCGAAATTAGACGAGGAGTGTTGCTATAATATATATCCCAATGAGTAGAGATTTGTATTTCTAACATTTCGTGATTCGATGCAAGTCAATTCTTTAGAGTAAATAAAAATTAGTCTAAATCTCGAGTATCACTATATTTAAAATTCATGAATGATATATCTGTGACATTGACATCAAACCTACGAATCTATGGAAAGATAAGCAGCTATACCTTATGTTCATAAAACAATAGGGTTATATCTGTGTTATTCTGTGTTATCATGTAACCGAGCAACAGACTTTTGCATGTTTTTATGACATGTTAGCTTTCTACCTCAAATACATTTAATCCAAAGACCCTTTTTTGTCAATTTAACTGCTTTTTGTTCTTCATGAAACATTCATAACTGTGTATTTGCGTAAATTGTTAGTTCATGCTTTTCAGTTACTATCACATCAGTAGCTCAAGCCAGTAACCAAACTACTCATCACAGAAATGAATATTACTTGATCGAATCTAATCGGCAATCATGATTAAATTTGGAGCATATCCATCAATTCACTTTAGAAAAAGAACTAGGTTTTTTTTAAACATAACAATCAGACAAAATAAATGCTTGTATCTGATCTGATCGTTACCTGACTCATTCATGCTATTATCATGAATCATCTCACATAACTTTTATTCTTTTTTCAATTGTCTTTAGGTCATATTTGACACATGCCTTTACGATGACTTATAGTGTATAAACTAGATTAGTCCAACAGTTCATCCGACCTTAAGTGGATTGTGTGCAGTTCTGGTGTGTCATGTTTGTATGCATGTATTAATGTTTTGATGTGTGATTAGATAAGGGTGGATTCAAACGTTTCATGCTAATCGATTGGTTTATATTGAATGCACAAATGAGGGGGTGATAAATTGATCTATGCCTAAATGATGATTATTTTTATATTTTACGATGACTCAACCAATAATTTCTGATTTCCTCTTGTTCACATATAAATATTTTTTTTCGTAAAACAGTGAACTTGCTCCACTGTCTATAAATGAACGTTAGTAACTGCGTCTGAGATATAAATGAATCTGCTGTTAATATCGAAGCATTTGGCGAGTACAAATATTACCGTGGTAAGTAGGCAATTTTATTTATAATAGTGTTACATGAAATGCTTTATTTTCACTATTCAGTAGAAGAAATTGTGTAAAAAGATAAAGTTGTCTTTTATCTATGAAATCTAAGTTTATTACAATCTAATTTCTATGTATTTTCACAATATCTAAAAATACTGACTTAGTAGATAGTTACCTGAATAGTCAAATTAAATCTTGAGGTTGTTAACTATATGATATTGTATCTTCGTGATAGAATATGCTATTCACTGATTATTCCATAATCTTATTTCATTTGATCATAACCTCTCTTGTATAACTCATCACCAACTATTAGGCAATGCCTATTCAGTTTTGGAAATAACTGAAAAAAAAACAGAGATATTTTACCACTGTTATTGTCTATAGATTCGTTATTAACCATCAAATCATCTGACTTTAAATGAGTAACACATCATCATTTGAATGATTGATGGACAAATTAGTATACTTCTACCCTAATCAAACATCCTCTGGGTCGCGAAGTAGTACACTTCACTTTTCTTGAAAGTGTCGTGAACACTGGTATCTGATGCAGTCTCAACACAGATTCAGAATGTCCTCTTGACGTTTACCAGCCTGCGTTACCTGTGGTGGCACGTGAAAGCAGAAGATATACGTAGGTTTGGAGTGTCTGACCATAGGTATCAGGTGCACTGTTCGTGTATTATAGAACGACTGAGTGAGTAATGTTAAGGTTATATACAGTGTACTAGGCAAAGATGGCGTATCGGTTAATGAGACTAAAAATCTTTATAGACGTAAGTGTCTGGGAAATATGTCGCGTATGCTTAAGTACTGCCTATCTTGACTTGAACTGATGGCTGGAGTATGATGTGGCTCGAAAATCGATTCATATTGTTTGGTACTTTTTATTCACTTAATTCACCCTTTCTATCTGAACTGTATTTCCTTACATGAATCTTTCTCATTATTATTGGTACTATTATTGTTTCAAATCTATTGTTTTTTATCTGGTTAAGTTCATCTGATTGCCCTGACTTTTGATATAGTAAGTCGAGCTGATTCATATTTACACACGAGGCTATATGTTGGTTGTAATTGACCAAGTGACAGAACAGATGCAAGTTGTGATTTGTAATTTTTCGAAGACGAAGAAAGTGTTGATATACAGTTTCTTGCTTATTCCCACTGGTTTTATACAATCAGATTAATGTTTCAGCTTTCAGAAATAACTTGAGTCTGTATATTGTCAACAATGAGTTAATAATATATTTGGATTGTATTATTTCACTATTTGGTTTGATTAATATTAAAATATATCTCATTTTTCGAGAGTAATATTAGGTTAAGTGTGTAAAAAAAGCTTATTTTGTAGGTTGTATCAGTTTTAAAAATAATTCTGAACCAAGTCTTCATACATGCTACGTGTTTCGCAACTAAATTCCATGATGAAGTAGGGTTCTATTGTGAATGATGTCGAAATTTTGTTGAGTAAAAGACCTATTTACTGTACACTGAATTATATCACTTGTTTATTCGTTTGAAATTGAAAGATCAACATTGGGAATATGATGGTGAAAAAATCTGTATTATTATTAACAAAAATGGACGGTGGCTATTAATGGAATCCAATACTCGAATCCAGTACCGTTCGTTTCTAACTCCATCGCGTCCCGGAGTGAGCATCAACTCCGGGATGCAGGTACATTCAGCTGACGAGTCCTAAATAGGATGAAACGCTGGTCTTAGATTCTCCTGCTAGCCACCGTCCATCTCTGCCTATAATTCTTGTACTTTAAGAGAGTATCGAAGTAATTCGCAAAGGATGCACATATACCAATAAGAGACTGATCAATTAAAGTTCTAATCATCAATAGGAAGATTCAAACAAACAATACGAAAATGTATTATTATTATTGTTATTTTAACAACTGATTATTTAATAATCCATGTAAAGCACCGTCTATTTATGTTGTTATTTATGCTTTTAGTGAAACATATCCAGACAGATTCGTAGAACGGTTCATACAATACTGATATACATACTTTAATAATTTGTTAATAACAACTTAATAACTAAATTTGACATGTTAGTCTGAGACTCATTCATTATGAACATTCGATATTCCCATTTCGGAATAGAATTCTTAAATTAAGCTATAATAATCGGATCCCAACTGAGAGAGCTATCTGTAGCCAATAAGATTTTTTTAGCTGGACGAAGAAAATATTCGATTTTCATGCCTTTCATTACTCTACGCGTATTCGTTATCACATTTCAAGTTATAGTGCAATAACTTCATATTTAGTGAGAAAAAAAATACGGTTTTAAACAAAGCTGTATACTTGTAACCTATGATATAGAGGTTTCTCTACTATCTTTCTTTGATCCGGTCACAGTTTCTCATGTGATAACTTTTTTAATTTTATTTTCAATAAATTTAATGTTTCTATTTTGTATTTGTGAATTGAAAAACGAAGTACTGACATTTCTGACTATAGTTGACGTGTTCGTATGTATAATTGTATGTACATGTACTTATGTATATGTAATTTTTACATAATTTTCATTTTTATTTATCTGTTTATTTGTCACGTGTCTATGTGGTCTATTTTCTTTTTATTTCGTTCTCTTCTTTTCCTATAAACACGTTTGCTTAGCGAGCCTACATTTACTTACGAGGTTTACAAAAAGTCAAATTACTACTACTGTATACGAGAATTACTGTCGTCGGTAATAAACTATTTTCTGAAAATCCGATTTGAACAGTCATCTGTTAATTAATTAATTTATCCTACTTTGAGTACACTACAAAACATAACAAAGGATCTTGAACAATAAATAAATGTCAGGTAATTTTCTGCTTTTCTTTATTGTCTTTTGTCTTCGATGGTTTGTTGTGCTTATTATTTGTTGGTACCAGTGATTAAATCTTGTCCTCTTAGAAAACTACTTTCTATCATTGAGACTTGAGAGTTAACTGAAAAAAATATGGAATAAGTGTGTTTCATTCACGTTTTAAGTTTATCAACAACGTATGTACTTTAAAGTTGTGCTGTAAAATTCTTCGCCTAACTTTCAAGTGATCGGTCTATTATCTGAAAATTTACTTATAGGGTTAAAATATTCAAATGCACAGTACTATTTAGAAAAGACTGATAATACGCAAAGTATTTTCAGCACCTTGGATAACAACGTAGGATTGTTATGAATCGAATTCTTAGTCTGTATTTAAAAAATATGGGTTATGAACTGGTATGGATAATTGCTTATGCAATAGTAGGTAATGAATTGGTTGGGCATGTTGACCATTTCACTTATCTACGAAGTCTTCTTAGCGCTAGCGGATTTGTTTCTGAAAAAACCTGGACACGGATTGAGAAGGTTCACTTGACGTTTGACAAAATACTTTACGTTTATTATCTACTAGATATCAGTAGGTAACCTCTCTGTTTTAACTTTTAGCTATGAAAATGTAAGGTCACAGGCGCTTGACCATAGATATCTTCGAATCGTTGCGTTTTATCAGCGGCAGGGTTACTTTTACGGGGTAGGATTGTTGGCCTTACGCCCAGTCCTTTCCCTTTGCTTGGGCTTTCGAATTTACGCTTGCTCCAGGTAGAGTTAGTCAGAAATAAATGTTAACGATCAATCTTCAGATTTCACATTCTTCAGTATTAATTATTTTAAAGAGTGGTATTAGTAGATGAGAGGAACAAAAAGACATACGGGAACTGTTTTGTGCTTCACTATTCAATGTTCCCTCGCGATCCACATGTGTTATTCATCTAGAGGTGATAACTGAAGCTCTCGTATACCATTTAGCTCATTCTTTTTTTAGTTCAATGCAATCTAAATGGTATTGATTGCAAATTTTTTCCTAATTGAAACAAATCAGGTTATTTTTCCAAAAATAATGTTGATTGTTCCTTAGAGTAGAGATAATCTGAGCAGTTATCTAGGCGGTAAAATGTAAGCTTAAAAACATTTAACTACTGATAAGTTACGAAAGTAAAATAAGTCTATTCATATTACAAAGGCTGACTTTGTATTTCATCTACTCTCTGAGAACATCATAATGAGTTTTTCTATCAGACTATCAGATATTACGAGAGAACATATAGACGTTACATTTTCTGAGTAGTTAAATAACCGATTACACCTCCATGAGTTTATTAAGTTTTTGCAGTGCGTGTGTGCTTGCGTGTATATGTTCATTTTATGACGTAATGATTCCTCTTTCTTAATATCTAACATTTTGGAGTATTATATTTTCTAATGGTCGCATTTATATTATATCAAACTCGTAATTCCAGCATACTGCCACTTCATCCTTGTAAAGTCACTGAAAGTACCTTGGTGGTTTTGTAGAAGTACGGAAATGCAATTTATAATAACTATGTGCGACATAATTTACCGATTATATTACTTATATATATCAGATATTTTGATTTAGGTACAGTGAAACAGAGGAGCACTACATTGAATAATATTGTTTTTCATCAGTAAGCTCATCTGTATTCAAAAGTCTTCTCATCTGATTTCTATTTGTATAATAAACCCAATTTTATTTAATTAAATATCATCTTTACATCAACGTGAAAGTAATTTCCTTTGTTCCTACCTATTAATAATAATAATAATAATAATAATAATAATAATAATAATAATAATAATAATTTGGTCAGTTGATTGCTAGTCAGCAGTTTGAACATTACTCCGACAACCATTATTTTTGACCAGATCCTTCAAATATATATTTTGTATGATCCATATTCTTTTGTTGACATGTTACCATCTCCCCAGCTGATTGGTTTGGTTATAAAGCTGCCATTGTCTTTTTCAATAATAACATTCATGTTCCTACGTATTTCTGATAAACTACTCGAAACAGAGTCTAGTATTTGACTATAATGTCTTATTCGGAAAGAAAATAAGAGTTCGTATTCCATTTTAATTTTAAAAGATTATAATACATTTATTTCATTGACTTCAGTTTAAAGTGCTAACTAATTTGTTTTCGTGACTAAATTAGTTTACTTCATGATAAATGTAAAAGTATAATCTTTACGAATTACGTAATGTGTAGTTTTTCTCATGTTTAACAGTATTCTCTCTGAATATTTTCTGTAACCATCCTCATCATTTAGATGCAAATGACGTTACAATTGAAATGTTGAGTTTGATACGTAGTTATTACTTTCATTTCAATGCTGAATGTGGTCAGTACTATATTACTGCATTGGAGACAAATACCAAGTTAGAAAAAAAGAGTTATTTAGTGATTTATTTTCTATCTAATTAGGTTTCTATCAGTTCAGAATAGAAAGATCAATTGTCAGTTAAATGTGTTTATTTAGATCATGAACTGATCAAGGTTAGATCACCATTGAAAACTTGTGTACGGGATCATGGATGCGCATTGCTGAGACTTCCCATACCAGGATGAAATGGCCATCCGGTACTTCCAAGTTTTCAAAGGTGGTCTAACATTGATCGATTCATGATATCAATCAAAACTCACCAATCTTCACAACCCTATACTGATAAATATGTTTATTTTTACATTTAACAATATTTTCACGTTCTTTGTTTTAGATCAAAATATTTGACAATATTTAGAATTTAATCAAAATCTCTAGTAATGTTACAGTTAATAACTAATTATGCATGTGATTTGTAATTTTTTATCATTTATACTATAATTTGAAAAAGAAATACAATTACAATACAATTAGTTACCATTTATTTTTGACCTGAATTCAGGTTTTAAGGTTAGTTTTTACAACAATAAAAAAATATGTTTTCGTCACAGAAATACTAATTTATTGAAATTTGATACAACGAATGAATTTAGACAATAGACAAGTAGACAGACAAATAAATTGATAAATAAATTTTAATTTACTTCTAGGATATAGAGACCAATCATCATTCATCCATCCATCCAGTAGGGAGAAGTACTGATGAATAAAGCAAACAAACAAATAGATAAAAATAAGTTTATTGAATGACATTGTAGGAAAAAAAGACATTTCTACCTTGTTCTTTTTACACTTCACTATTTAATTGGACGAGGTGATGATGACGTACTAAAATGTAACAGACCTAGTCGTTTTCATGCTTTAATTATTTAACAGGTAGATGTGTTTTTCTTCTTTATATTGAATAACTAAGACTTTTCCAAAAAGAACAATCATGAGTTACAAGACTAATAATCATGTGTGTATGTGTCTGTTTATTAAATTACTTCCGTGTTATTTTATTATCCTTTTTGGTTAGCAAAATTTACGTTTTTTTGTGAATAATACACATGTTATATGGTTGATTCTATAAATTTTAATAAGTTTCAGTAAGTTTTATTGTTCATGTACTTTTGTTTTCATTTTATTGATCATTTATTACGAAAGAAAATTGCTACACACATTTGTCTTGCTTTCAGGTGAAATTCTTATGTAAGCCATAGTCTATACTACATACATATATTATTTGCCTTAATTAACTATAGTTCTATGAGTTGTGATGACGTCATATGACTTTCGTTTTGTCACTTAGACTTACTTTATTGTCTGGTATATAGCTTGGTAAAATATAATATTAATATATAGTACAGTGATAATAATAATATTGATAATGATATTCATGTCGAACCTGTGTGAGGAATACACATAAAGAGCTATTTGAATAGTGTTTTTTTTCTGAATTAAATAGAAATTATTTGAAATTTTCGAGTTTTTTTTTCTTATTGTAAAACATGTATGAGTGACTGTTATTATTGCGTAATTGAAATGTGTGTTTATTTTTTGTTGTTGTTGAAAACTCATCGAAAATAGTGCTTTTTTTCTGACATTTAGATGGAAAATTTTTTCTCAACATTTTATTCACTGATTTTAGTTATACAACTATTTTGAAAACTAAGAAGTAATTAATTGTATCATTAAGATCAATTCATACTGTATAATAAGAGTAAATTTGTCAAAGTCTTTCTAGTTCATCTAGATAGAAATTTCAATCCATTTGTAACATTGTGGTAAAACGTTTCCTATTTGCCTTCTAGATATAATGAGTTTACAAACCCTCAAGTGAATTATGTTAGACAGTTGAAAATTCTTCGATAAATTATGTATGAAGATTGTTTAGTTTATAAATTACAATTTTATCATACTAAGCTTTTGTATTAAAGATTACCAACTGATGAATAAACTATTCCTTTTTTTAAAAGTAAAAATAACTATTCGGATGTGTCCAGCATTTTCTTATTGATAATTATCACCATAGCTAAGATTATTTGTTTTATTTTTCACATTTCAATAAATCTAAATTAATTGTACGTTGACTGACAAGTATGATGGTAGTATTTTTTTAGCATCTTCAATGAATTATTTATATTATTGAAATACAAGGGATTTTTGAATTATGGCTTGTAATAGCATCCAGGAAGTTCACATAGTTCTATTTAGGACTCATCATTCGGGGGTGTACTTGTATCATTCCCAATATTGATTCTCACATTGAAGCTCGAACCCTGTCGCTTCAAAAGCCAGGGTATTTGAGTTCAGTTAGTAAATAGCGTGTTCGATAGATGTGATGCTCATTCGTAAATATGTGGTATTATATTGTTATTGATATTGTAATCTGAATTCCGGTCAATCTTTGTTAGCGTATGTTAAATCTCTGCTAGCTTTTACCTGGTATCCGTTTTGCTAGTTTTGATATATATATATATATATATAGTAGAAAAACTTATTATTATTAATGAGATATTAGGATATAGCATTGGATTATAGGGTGAATTTCAAAATTTTCATGTGTATTATTCGTGAATGTAGACTAAGATCCACTATCTGATAACAATACCTTTGATAAATCATAAATAAAAATCGACTGTTTTCAATTTATTCGAAGCAGACATCTTTGAAGTAGATCCGTATACAATGGTAGTATTACTTAGATTAGTATTTTTAAATCAACTGTATTGAATCAGTTGATTAATTCATCTAATTTAGTTATTTTTAATTATTTCATCGATTACAATTTACATGTTATAACATTTAATTCTTAACTTATATATAGTGTGAATCGAATAGATTTCTGTTATTGTTCTGATCGTTAATTTCTCGAAAATGAAGAGGGAAAGCAGGTCTTTAATTGTCTGTTTCTTGTCAATCATCTGTTAATAATGCTAGTAAACAACAAAAACAAAGTGTGATTCAAACAAATTTTTTAAAAATCCAGTTATTACTATAGGGTTTTGTGGAGACTATAGAATATTCATAGTTTTTAATTTATGAACTGATCTTATTTAGATTATCGTTGAACTTGTGAAAACACTGAACAAATGTCTGGTCCTAGTCTGAGACTCGTCAATAGTACGAATCCGGGAATCAAACCCAGGACCTTCGATCTTGCTCGCAAACACTTAGCCTTTAGATTACTTAGGTGGAATCCAGAGTTTCACGACTTTTAATAATTGTTTCACTGAGATCAATTTTCGGTTTAAAATCTATGAAAATTCTACAATATCCACAAAACTATACTGAAAATAATCATGTACTCACTAGTGACTAGCATCAGGATGTAGTTCCTGGAGTTGTATTGGGAAGCCATGATCAGTGGAGTGCAACCATGTCGAGTGTTTTCTCCGTAATACTATGAAACGAAAGTAGAATACGCTAAAAAATTAAGTATGCGTGTATACGTGTGGAGTCTGAATTGTGTTGAGTCGTGAGTGAAATCATATTGTTAGTATTTATTTAATCCTTCAATATTATCAGTAAATGATATTAGAATTTAAGGTGTTCACAACTGCTGACCTTTAAAACTGGTAATGGCAATAATAGTGATAATTTACTAATACGTTGCTATGAACGTAATGATGACGAAATTATTTCTAAACTTATGACATATTTAACCAATCAAAATTGTTATTCTATTCTGGCTTCGTTGTATATATATATAATATGAATTATAAATTAACAATATTTTAAAATATGATTATCTTATACTCATTTACCTTTTACAATGTTGATTTCAAAAGGAAATTTCGACCGAAATCAAAGAAGTCGACCAAGGTTTTTTGGAATCCAAGATTATGATGATAATGATGTTTTCCAATCGAATGATGATAACGGGAATGGCGGCAGATTTACGAATACCTCTACAACGACAAGTGGTTACAGTAGTTGTTTTACGAGTATTACTACTAATGATAATGATAGTCAAACAATATTTCAATTTGATGAAATGTTTGGACAAAACACCTGTCAAGATGTTGATCAATGTTGGGGTAGTAATTTATCTGACAGTCCTCCATTAGGCCGTCCACGAAGAGCAAATCCCAAACCGTTAACAGGTCGATATGAAGTGGAATTTCCAGGTATATTCGTTGAAGGATTTCGTGGGGGTCATGTGAAATTTAATATACCTGGAGTATTACAGGGTTCTCTGAAACCTACCGACTCAATGATAGTGAAAATCAACGTACCAAGTCCTGAACAATTCCATCTATCTGAAGTGTATGGTCAGTCTTCATTTGGGAATTCTACTCAAACAGAAGGAGTTTCTCAGAATAGAGGAACTTCTACTGTAAGTACAAGTCGTTTTGCTACTTCGTGTTTCGAACAAAATACACATCAGACAATGTCGGATCATTGTAGCACTACAATGCCTTATACTTCAGATATACTTTCAAACCTCCGTTCTAATCATCCAAATCCTAGTGATTCATATCAGTTAAATTCTACGGATACTAATAAATCTGATGCCCATCTATTACGTTGTGGTACTACTACTGAATGTTCCACCATTTCATCAAATCTTTGTTCTTCCAGTCGTTTCCCTAGTGTTTATGAAAGAATCTCTACAGATTCCGGTCTACCATCAAATTATTTAATTCGTCCAGTAATTTCTGGTCATAGAAAAATCGTCGAAGAAGACAATAATGACAGAGGTGGTTTTGATATTGGTGGCGGAGAGCGAAATCCATTTAACTTTAATAATGAAAATAATCAGCTATCTCGTTTCGGACAATTCGGTACTTAATGAAAGATTATTGTTATTATTATTACCATTATTATTATTACTTTTTGTCCAATTAAAATTTATCTTGTAAACAATGCATTTTTTCCAAGTGTTATTTTTTCTATTTTGTATACTTATTGTACTGTTTATGACTATTATTATTATTATTACTATTATTAATATTGTCACCCTTCCTTACCCCGTTGATTATTGGTACCAAACCGTTACACTTTTCAGTCACTACACACTACTCTCATCACTGTGAGTGAATTCAACTTAGTCTTATTTTGTATTTGGAGTTAGAATTCTTTTTATTTGAAAAACTCCAGCTCATCAAGGAACTAGTTAATTTTTCTATACTCAGGTATATGTAGCTTACACTATATAGATATATATTTATTGGTTTCTATTTGTGATTATAAATGTATGTATATTTTTCTATCTCTCTTCCTCTCATTTGTGATGATGTTTAGGAGAGAAAAGAGAACCGTATTTCGATCTCATTGTAAACTGTGCCTTTGTTGGAATTTTACTTGTTTTCTTTTTACCTTATGTCATTCACTTATTCGTATCGTATCCCGATATATGCAGTAATAATAAAGGTCTTATATTTGTATACTACACCTTCTCTCCATTATCCAATGCCTCGATAAACTAGAAAAGTTTAAAAGTTTTTGTACTGCCTTATTATTATTACTATTATTATTCTTGTTTCTTTGTCACTGCTGCTTTTTTTATCCTGACGAAACAAAAGATGTGACGATGTATTTCTGACTGGCAACACTATTATTATTATTTCTATAAGCTATTTTTCTGATTTTCGTGTTTGTTTATGTGTATAACTAACTGCTTAAGTACAAAAAACATAGTTTGACAACATGGAAAATATTGTTTATAAAATTTACCCATATTACTAGTATATTATTCTTCATTTTTCATAACCTAATTACATTCCATTATCATTATCCGTATTATTACAACTATTACGACTATTATTATGAATTTTTGTTTGGCGGTGTTACAAATTGTTCGAAGTGGGAAACAATAAAATTTGAAAAGCAAAAAATGTTACCTACTTTAAAAGAACTTTTTTCCAAATTTGGGAAGTATGAATTCATTAGGATTTCGTTTACAATTGGAGTATATTGTTTAAGTGGTAGTTAGGTTTGATAACATATTTCCAATACTTCAATGGTTATGGGATAAGTGACTTGGGATGCAATCTTACAACGAGAGGGATTACTTTTCGGATTGAAGATATGCATAGCTATTAGGCTTCAAAAATTATGAAGCACTAAAAGTCAAACATTTGCATCCTAAGTTTATTTGTCTTAGAGAGCATAACCTTTTTATTTAGCGATCAGAGTGGGATCTTGTCCATCTCTTGGTAATTAAGTACTGTACTCTAAGAGAGACTGTTCATTAAGTTTGGCCATTGATTGTGATTGATTTTTAAGAGCATAACAACGTGAATAACTTAAAAGTGGATAGAACGGTGTAACATCACTTGAACTTATTATGTTTCCGATTAATTGATAATTTATCTTCATAAGATGATTATAGAGTGAATTTTTATGGTTATCGATAAATTTTATGTTCGAAAGCCGTGAAATATTGCAAGTAGAAACTTTCAGTTTGCTAACATTTTCATTTAGGCATGTAATTCATATAACACCGCACTTTAGTAAGACCACGAGCAGATGATTGTAAAAATGTTTGATATACAAGATTTCTATTTGTAGCTTAGCGTGATGAGACATTGTTTTAATCATTTCATTTTTCAGTGTAATTCCGATCACTTCACTAAGCACAAATGAAATAGAAGTAAGTATAAATTGAGTTAACTAAACATTTGGGATTTGTTTCTAACAAATTCATATTCTCTTATTATTCATTATGTATAACGGTAACAGTTTATATTATGTCTATAAGATACAAATACAGGCGAAAATATGACATTGATTCAAGCAACCTCTAGATCAAGAAAAAGTCGATCAGTTTAACAATTCAGATCAACAACATGTACATAAAACAATGTAGCATTCAGAGTAAATAAAAAAAACATTCACATAAGTTCTATAATAAATTAACATTGTAACTGCAGGTTATTGAAATAGGTACTATTGTGGTGTGTGCTACTGATGTCGACATATGAGAGTAGTATATATCACCAATCGGAAGTGCAATGCTTGGTGGCAGAAGGTTGGGAAAATCGATAAAAAGAGAACGAGAACTGACTGATTGGTACGGAAACAAAGAAACAACTGTTGGCGGAACATAGACTGGATTAAAGCAAGCTCAATGCACGATTGCTTTGGTGCACGCTGATTGGCTAATTCTTATCCAATCAGCACTAGTCGATAGTTGGAGAGTACTCTAGAATCTTCTCATGTAAGAACTTCAAATACACTGACGTTTTTCCTATTACTCTTCTTACTGTCTTCTTGCTTCCATCTAACCTTGTTATTTGGAATATAATCTCTTTCCTGTTCAACCGTGTTCTGATTTGGGGACTTGTCGAATGATTTGGTGTCCGAGAATACTAAGCAATAGAAATAGCTGGGTCATAACCGTAAGAAAGAGATTATAACCACAACAAAGTCTGAGACAAATGATGGAGATTTTACCGAGACATTATGTAATGTTTCTTGTCCCCACCTGTGTTCTCGTTCGCTCTACTATGTGTTTTAAATTGATGCTCAATGTACATTTTAACAGTAATAAATGTTGAGTTTAAGCAAAAAGAAATTAGACGGAGACGTTTAGATGGTATTCAGTAGCAACTGTTTCATAGAGTCAGGTAGTCCATATTAACGATAGAGTGGTGTGACCAGTCCAATATTCATCGGTATAGGTAGAACTAGAGTGAGCCCGATCTCCACCTAACCGCTTAAGTTCATGAAACAAAGTTTCACTATATTTAGGGTACCACATGTATGTGTGAGTTGAACTCAACCCAGGTAAAGTCATCCAAGTTGTATTATAATTCAGAACTATAATTCTACTAAAAGTTGTTTTTTAATTCTCATTCTACATATCACAGTTTTCCATTAAAGCTATCTATTGTTGTTAGGATGTGCTAGGTAATAAAGTTCGAAATTCTTATGGATCGATTAACTGAAAGGAGTATTGAGGCACTATAAAAGGAGAGATCAATACTTAATTCCTGTTTATTAGTAGTATAGTTTTCTGATGAAAAACTATCTTGACGTTAAATTCATCAACATGAACAGAAAAAATCTGGATGAAAATCCTACAGATGACTAATAGAGAATCAAAAGCTGTCGTATAAATTACACTCTACGATTGGAATTTTATCTAACCTGTAAAATAAAACACTTGACTTTATAGAGGAGTAGGAAGAAGTAGCTTACTATTATTATCAATGTGTAGGATAATTATATACATATACTTTGGTCTAATTTGTTTGCTTATTAGATTGTCGATCGATATTTTTTTATTTTCAAAATTGTTCTATAGTTGTGAAACATGTTCTTTGAAAGTAGAGATGAGTAGATTGTTATTATTTTACCATATATATCTTTGAAACACTACACTGAAAATGAAGAGACCTCTCAGGGATCAATTATGAGATAAGGAGTTAACTGCATCTTTTGTTTTGTCTGATCAGCCATCAACTATTCTAACATACAGGAACCAGTCGGACAAGCTAACTTTTTAATGATTTATAGGACCTTAAGATTAGAATGAATTGGCTAGTTTTCGATTTCAATTCAGTCAGTTAACAAATACTTCCGTAATAAAAAGTATATGAAGAAAAGCACATGTTTGGAGGTAGTTGACAGGAAAGCGTACACTGAACCATATAACATGCTAAGTCACTTAAATTAGTGGTTACATTTTAACTTGATTGGTAAGATTCGATCAGTAGTAAAGGAACAGACAAATATAAAATTAAGCACTGCTTAATCAAAGACAGTGATTACCGTCTACATGAGTTTCTTCCATCTTTGATGTCAGTACATATATTTCTGATAGTCTGCATTACCTATCGATAGTATTTTACTGTTGAGGAGTAGGATAAAATTGCTTGGTAATAAGCAATATATTTTTTTTAAAATACATTAGTACTTACTATTTGGTTTACTTAACCCAATAATTTATTTTATAATTAAATATACAAGATGTATTCTATGCAATGTGTTTTTAAAACAAAAATTTGTAACCAAAAACGAAAACTGAAATATAAATCAAAGTACCACAGTGTTTAAAGTAGATTTAATTTCTCTTAGCAACAAAAATACGGTTCCTTTTTCATCTGATAATCGATTGTTTTAGATATATATGGAAGTTAAATTGCTATGTTTCAAGAAATAAAAAACTGGTTGCATTTTAAATGATGAGAAAATGTAATGCAAGTTCATTAAAATAAATGATTTGTCAATTCATAAGCGGTTTTTGATGGGTGATTTGTTGTTATTCCATTTAAATGTATAATTATCTATTTAAAGTAACTTCTGCGACATCGTAAAATGACTGAATTTGAATGTTTAGACATTCAAATTTCCACTCGTTAAATAAACTCACCACTTAGACTAAAGGATTCTAGGTTCATGCCTGTGTGGGGATCTAGATGTCCACTTATGAAGATCCTGGGATCGAGAACAAAGCATTTTTCCATAGGTAATGGGTTCACAATGGTTTTTCAACTACCTGAAATCCCTTGAAATTTCTACCCTTTTATAAACAACTGTCACAATCCTTAAATAAAATCAATAAAGAAGTTCTTGTTTATAATCAAAATGTTTTTGATAATTAATATCTGACAATTGTTCATACATTTGTGGTATTAAAACATATCAGTTTCTGATAAATATCAAGTAACTACTCATTATTGTACTCATACTATCAGTTAGATTTTATATTACTCCCTGACTTTATGTTCTTCTGGTTTTCTCTAACTGATTTAATTATCTTGTGGATAGATTGAGCCAATTTACTATTTGGATATCAAAATACCTACTTCAATATTTTCTGGCTACTTCATACTTTAGAAACAAAGAACCTATTTTATTTTTATTAAAGTTAATGAAGAGGTATTAATCGAATTAGAATAAAAGTTTGAGTTGCAGAGGAACTCGAAGTCAAAACGTTCGGATAACGGATCTTGTGGTCCATTCACGAAGCATGTCTTTTACAGACTAGACAATACCTACTTTGCTACAAATAATTGGAATAGTAAGAGATTTGTTGTCACTACGGATGACCGCGTTAATTCTGTCTGCCCCTTTTACCATCGTTTTCGACCTGCTAGACGTTATTTTGCTAATTATATTATAGTACTTAATAATATTGAGTAACTAATTCATTTTCACCCATTTTTAGATGATATTATGTAATATTCTCTCCATTGTCGTGTGGTATTATTTGGTACTCAACTGAACATTTACTTATTTACTTACGCCTGTTACTCCTCGTGAAGGAGCATAGGCCACTCACCAGCATTCTCCATCCAACCCTGTCCTGGGCAATCCTTTCAGCTCCGTCCAGTTGTAATTCATCCTTTTCATATCTGCTTCTATTATCCGACGCAATGTGTTCTTTGGCCTTCCTCTTTTTCGCTTCCCTTCAGGGTTCCAAGTTAGGGCTTGCCTCGTGATGCAGTTTGACGATTTGCGTAATGTATGTCCTATCCATTTCCATCGTCTTTTCCTAATTTCTTCTTCAGCTGGAAGTTGGTTTGTTCTCTCCCACAGAAGGCTATTGCTGATGGTATCCGGCCAGTGGATGTTGAGTATCTTGCGTAGACAGCTATTTATAAATACTTGTACTTTCTTGATTGTGGTTGTTGTAGTTCTCCAAGTTTCAGCTCCATACAGTAGAACTGCCTTGACGTTCGTATTGAAGATTCTCACTTTGATATTGGTTGAAAGTTGTTTTGAGTTCCATATGTTCTTCAATTGTAGGAATGCGACCCTTGCTTTGCCGATCCTCGCCTTTACGTCTGCATCTGAACCTCCTTGTTCATCGATGATGCTTCCCAGGTATGTGAAGGACTCTACATCTTCCAGAGTTTCGCCATCAAGAGTGATTGGATTGCTGTTCTCCGCTTGAATTT